TTTCAGGCTGAGGAGTCCTAGAGGTAAGACATGGCAGTAGGTTGCTCCTTTGTCTCTCTGATCTTTCAGCATTTACCCCAATATCTGGTTCCCAGATTTTTTATTATAAGACCATTTAAGATTCATGTTACAGCTCCCACTGCTAGGAATCCCACAAGAGGACCAAACTACACAACTGTAACATATATAGAGAGTGCCTAGGTCAGACCCACACAGGCTCCTTGGTTGTCGGTTCAGTTTCTGTGAGCCCAGGTTAATTGATTCTGTGGGTTTTCTTGTGGTGTCCTTGATCCCTCTGGCTAAAATCTTTTCTCTCCCTCTTCTGCAGGATTCCTCAGGCTCCACCTAATGTTTGTCTGTAGGTCTGCATCTGTTTCCCTCAGTTTCTGGATGAAGCCTCTCTAATGACAGTTGGGATGGGCACCAATCTATGAGTATATCAGAATATCATTAGGCATCATTACATTGACATTTTCCCCTCCAGTCATGTTTGGTTCCATCACAGGTCTCTGGGTCATCCAGCCTGTGGGTCTTAGTACTCTAGGCATTTTCAGGGGTTTCATGACTCCCCTGCCATGGGTTTTAGGCTAGACAGGTCATTGGTTGACCACTCCCTCAATCTCTAGACCACCCTTACCCCAGCACATCCCATAGGCAGGACAGACTGTACATCAAAGGTTATGTGGCTGGGTTGGTTTCCCACTCCCTCCACATGAAGTCTTGCCTGGTCACAGGAGATGGCCAGTTCAGGCTATGTATCCACTGTTGCTAGGAATCTTAGTTGGAGTCATCCTTGTAGATTCCTGGGAGATTCCCTCATACCAGGTTTTTAATCTGACCCTGAAACACACACCCCCTTCCGGTAGTCTCTTTCGGTACTCTCCCCCTTTACCCCCATAGCCTGATCTCTCATGTTCCCATCCCCACCCACCTGCAGTCCACTCACAAAGTCTCTTCTATTTCCCCTTCCCAGGGAGATCTGGGCATTCCCCCCTTGAACCTTCCTTGTTACCTAGTGGGTCTCTGGGTCTGTGAATTGTAGTATAGTTATCCTTTATTTTACAGCTAATAATTGAGTACATACCATGTTTGTCTTTCTGGGTCTGGGTTACCTCACTCAGGATGATTTTTTTCTAGTTCCATCTATTTGCCTTCAAATTTCATGATGTTGTTGTTTTTAACAGCTGATTAATACTCCATTGTGTAAATGTAGCACATTTTCTTTAACCATTCTTCAGTTTAGGAACATACAGATTGTTTCTAGGTTCTGGAGATTACAAATAAAACTGCTTTGAACATAGCTGAGCAAGTGTCCTTGTGGTATAATTGAGCATCCTTTGGGTATATGCCCAAGAGTGGTATAACTGGGTCTTATAGTAGATCAATTCCGAGTTTTCTGAAAAACCACCATTTTGATTTCCAAATAACCTATGTAATTCTTCTGTGAGTTTTTCCAAATTGTTCAAGTCTTCAAGATCTCCATGTTAAATAGACCTGTATTGTTGGAGAACCATCACAGTAGCCCAGGAAGCCCCAGGATTTGGCTTACAGGTGCTGAAGAAATCAAATCACCAGACTGCAAAGCTCAATGGTGCTTATCCAGGCTTCGCTCTGTCCTTGTCTTATGCTCTACCCACTTGTTCCCCACATTTGGAAATTTTTTCTTTCCAACCCCACCCACCACTCTCCAAACTCTACCTCAGCCAATTTTCCTTCAGATATCACCCCTAGAAGTCAGACTGACCAAAGCTTCAAGGTTCTGGCCCACGGTCCACACTCCTTGAACCCACCATTCTCCTCAGACTTCACTATCAGGTGTCATTTTGTATAGAGTTTGCCCTTCCTCTTCCTTCCAAGTTTGGCTGGGAGCAGACGCTGACTTGTTTTCATTCATTTCCAATGGTGTCTTGAATAGGCCTGGGACACCGAATATGTTTATATATGTACAGGGGGATGAATGAGTGGGTGGGTGAGTAGGTGGATGGACGGGTGAATGTGGTGAACTGATGAGTGGACAGGCAGAAGAGCAGATAGATACACAGGTGGGTGAGTAGGTATGTGGATGGGTGGGTAGATTGGTGAGTAGAGGGGTGATGGGTAGGTGAGTTTGGTTCATTGGTGGGTAGATATGGGTGAGTGGGTGGGTGGATGGTGGATGGGTGGGTGGATAGATGGATATGTGTGTAGCTGGATGGGTATGTGGATAGACCGGTGTGTGCATGGGTGGGTGGGTGGATAGGTGGTCTTGTATTACATCCACAAGTCTGGTCCGATCCATTTCTCCTATATGACTGGACGTGTGAATGCTATATTTGGCATTTGTTCTCCAAAGAGAGGCTGGACTGTTGTGTTAATTTTGAAATACATGAAGCAGAATTCTCTTCTTGCATTAACTGGGTGCTGGAGCTGAGCTCTCAAATGGGGAGGGCCGCTGTACCACTTCTTTCTGCTCCGTGGGGCCTTACCACCACCTCTGCTCTTTACCATTGGATTTGAGCTCTTTGCTGACTGACCTTTAGACACAAAGTCTGAGTATTCAAGCCCAGAAAAGCCACGTGATTCCTCTGAGAGAAGCATTTTAATAAAAGCTCTGCAACAGTGAAATACCTGGCTTAAAGGGTAAACAGATTCCTGTTTGGCTTTTTTTCCCTGCAATCCTCCTTCAGTCTCTGTAGATTTGTCTGACTGGCCCTGCCCAAAGGTCACAGCATCTACTTGCTCCCTGATTACTGACTACAGAAAAAATAATGGTTCCATCCTTGAAAAAAATGGATAATTAGCAAGTTTTGTGTCCCTGGTCCCTGTGGACCTCAGGTGTGCCGCCTGCTTTCCTCTTCCCAGGGTTCCAGGTCACAACCACAGCCAACCGGACACTGGAGCTATAATGCCAAATCGATCTCAGTGTTAGAGGGTTAAAAGTCTCAGGCTCTCCAAGCAGACCTCACACCAACGCCAAACTGCCAGTGCTGGGGTCTGACCCAGGGAGCCACCAAAACAGAAGTAAGATGGACCCCCTGACTTCTGTAGCCTGTTTTTCACTGACCATGGCTAGTTGGGTAGGGCCAACACAGCAAGCAACTCCTCAGTCATTATTCAAGATGCAAAAGCCAGCTGGTGCTGGCAGTGGGGCAGGTCCTGCTGTGAACTTGTGGGTGGAGGGGGGAATGAAGAGCAAGACAAACTAAGAAGTTCTCAGCGCCAAATATGAGGTTAGATCAGGATCAAAGCTTGGATGCCCTCAACTAGGTAGGGTGACCAGCTATCCCAGGCTTCCCAGGACTTCAGGAGTCACTTTCATCCTTAGCACCACTAACCTGTTATGCCCTGAGTTCAAAAGTGGCAAGGTCTCAGAGCAGGGAAATTGTAAAAGCCATGGAGCCGCAAGTGGAGGAGGTGGAGGAGTTAGGTTGTGCATCTCCTGGCTGTCCTAGCTGTTGAAGGCCATGGCATTCAGTAAACAGAGTGTGAACAAAACTTCTCAGAAGCTGTACTCTCCACCAAACCTTCTGCCAGGCTGATTAACTGATTAGAATATAAATGAGGAGAGGTTGGCATGTTGCAGGTCCAGAGTCTAATTACAATTTGTCTTGGGTTACCTTTAGCTGTTCTCATGCAAGCTATTCTTTGCCCATCTCTGTGTCTGACCTAACATCCTGTACGTAACATAAAATCTTTTGGAATACCTTAACAGAACCCCAGTTTACACTAGCTAAAAAGACAAAGATCCATCATATAGCATCTAAGGCCTAGAGCACAAGAGTTCCTTGCTTTGGTTCAACATATCTACTTAATGTTTCCACCAATGTGTTTGAAAAGTGCCTTAAAAAGTTATGACTTTCTTTGTTCCATTACTATAAAAACTTCATCAAACTGTTAACACATTAAAACATGGAATTTGGAGTGCCTTAAATCTGTATTCACTGGCCATGATCACTCATATTTGGAATAAACCATCTCTTATACCCTCAGAGGCAAGAACTGTGTTTTATACCAACTGAGATGAGGAGGGGTTGTTAAAAGAGCATGATCAGTCAGCCCCAGCCCCATGTTGGATGCCTTCATGGATGCCTTCATGTGCCAGGTATGGTGGTGCAGACCTGTAATCCCAGCACTTTGGAAGTGGAAGCAAAGAAAACCAAAAAGATCAAGATCAGCATTGGCAGAAGGCTGAGTTCAAGGCCAGTCTGGGCTACATGAGACCCTGTCTCAAAATTCAACAAACACCTTTATGTTCTAATGCTCATAGCACTCTGCAACTGGAATCAAGGCAGAGCACCAAGAAATCTGCACAGTAAGGCCAAGTGTGACCAGAGAACAGAACTGGAGACCTACAGGGTCTAGGGTTAACTCCCCAGAGAGGGTGCTGTTAACTTCCAGAACCATTAAACCTCAAAGAAACATAAGTCAGAAATGTAGACCTCTACTTGAGTAAACTAATGAAACATCAACATCAGCAGCTGTATTCATCAGAATTATTGAGGGCACCAGCAGCTACTAACTCTTCGTGGCTAAAATAAGGACAGTCACAGTATCCCAGAGGCCAGCAAGGGAGTGAATGGGAGCTGCCCTGGGCCAACATCTCTGTGTTCCACCACCTTTCACACAGCTGAAAGACCAGAGAGCCACATTTGGAGCTTCATCCACATTGCAGTGCATAGAGTCGAGGTCATTGGTGATGGGGCTACCTTCAGCCAGCCCTGAATGCTTCCAGTGCAACATCATCTCATACAGGCCACACACAGCACAAGTCAAGCCCTGGTCTGTATGTAAGTCAAGCACAGCGCTGTCCCAGAGGGCCTGCTGTCCATGGCTCAGGGGCCCCAGGTCACCTTCCAAGGAGAAATGTTCATGAACCAATGGCTTGTGCCAAAGTTAGGAGCTGGGCTGTCCTGCATCACTTCCTTGTGTCTTCACTTGGCAAAAGCCTTCTGTGCAGACAGGACAGCTGGACACTCAACCTTGACTCTGAGACCCAAGGAGTTGTAAAAAGACACATGTCACTACTCCCCTCAGCAATACATATACTAAAATTGGAATACAGAGGAAATTAGCATGGTCCTTGCACAAGGATGACACACAAATCTGTCAAGTGTTCTATATTCTCAGAGATGCTTATATTTGTAGTATATGATGATTAACGCAGACTCACAACTAGCCAAGATGCAGACAATAAGAGATTGGAAAATGTTCATCCCTAAATGGAACATATATACTGAACCCCATCTTCCCAAGGCTCAGAGATCATTGTAGAACAGAGAGCAGAAAAAGAGCCAGAGGCAGTTCATGACTACACGGAAGCAGTGTCTTCTGGACACAGCAAGACATCTGCACATCTGAATTCACAGTGGTTGTGACAGTAGGTATAAGACATGAGTAAGCCCAAGCCAGAACAAATCCCAGTATTGAGAAGGAGTTGGTCATGCCATCCTCCTGAGGAACTAGCACTGGTGGTCCTCAATGTATAAGTAACACCCTGAAGCTATTGTCAATTGTTAGCTGCTGAGAGAAGGAGATATAATTTTCTCTGAGAGTTTTCTACCCCTGGTAGGTTGACCACACTCCAGGGATAGGACACATATCCAAGAATATTTGGTCTTGATGGATGTTTTCAAAAAGGATATAAATTTGGGTGGATGAGAATAGTTGGGGTAGGGGTAGTTGAATATTATCTAAACACATTGTATGAAATTCTCTAAGAACTAATAAAGAAAGAAAGAAAGAAAGAAAGAAAGAAAGACACAACAAATATATCCCACAGGATCTCATACCAAGTTCAGGCCATACATGCCCACCCCCGTGCCCAGATGAAACAGCAAGGATGCTTCTGCTCTTTCCTGTCTGGCCTCAAATGGATAAATTAACAGAGGATAAATGACCACCCCAAGAGTCCATCCTAAGCCCCTGGGTGGGTGCAGCATGTCCTGGAGAGACCATCCCTTAGAGACACTAGTCCAGAAGGTCCCCAATACAGGTGTCAGACACCAGCAAACAGATGGTATGCAAGGAAAATCCCCAAACTACATTTGCTTAAAAATGCTTTTCTCCTGAGTGAATGCAAAAGATTCCACTTATAACTAAACTTCATACACAGAACCAATGTTGAATGTATCAAACGTCAAAGGTGTTTATCTAGAATTTAAATAATTTTACTTATTATTCCAGGAGCTAAGCTCCTTTTTCCTTGGAGTTATTTGCCATATAGGAGAAGACTTCCATCAGACAGAACATTTTATTTGATTACATTTGGATGGTGTACATATTTACACAGTATCAGTGAGGCAGAAATGCCCTTTTTAGAATCATGCTTCTGGCCTCAACGGGCCCGTCAGCTGCACACTGCATCAACCAAGTCCTGCAGGTCCATGGTTAAGCCCATGTCTGGCTCTGAGCTTGAGGTTGACATTTGGACTATGGTCATCAGCCTCTGAGTATGCAGATACCCTGGAAGCTTTGTGGACACAGGGAGATGAAATCTAAAATCTTAAAGTTCTGTCATTCCAAAGGTGCTCATTTTAAAGGCTTAGGGGGGAAAGAGGGAAATCAACCACTTGTGATCCATGACCAAAAGGCAGCAAACAACACCTTGCTCTAGATTCATTCCTAGTTCTCAGTTCCCATGAATGATTGTTTACTTGGGGTGCACAGGAAGGAAACAGGTAGGACTTGGGGCCACACAGCCCAAGTTAAACAGATTCTCCTTCCTTCCTAAACAAGGATCCCAGCTGCCGACCCTCGCTTTACTCGTCTGCTCATAGGGATCTGGTATCCAGCACAGTGGGTTGTTGAAAGGACCACAGGCATTAAATGATGCAAACACTTGGAAAGGAGCATGGAGTGCCAGTGTCCTACTCAGTGTGGTCCCTGGACTAATATGGTTTGTCAGTTCTCGAAGACTGGCTAGTGACCCAGCAGATGTGTCAGAGTCTAACAAGAGGCTAAGACTGCCTTGGCTTCTGATGCAGTGTTGGTGGAAGGAGCAGCTGTAGCACATACTTGTCTGCAAATGCCCATTCAGGCTGGGCAGCGAAGGCTCAGAAAAGCCACTGTCCTTCGGGCTGGCTCTGTCCAGACATGCCAGGCTGTTAGGAGCCGCTTCTTCGGCTGTCTGTGCTCTCAGAAGGGAAGGGAAGATCAGCATGGCCCTAGGAGAATCAGAAGAAGGGAAGCAAGTCTGGCCATTTGCCACCTAGAGGGACCAGCCCTGGACTCGTGAGCATGTCCATGGAGCAGACCAGATGCAGCAGCAAACCTTGGGAGGGGTTATCTGCCTAGCCTCTCTATGACAAGGACCCTCATAAAACTGACCAGACTGTGTGCTTGTGTGTGTGTTCTCAGTCAGTCCCTTTCAGATTGGCTGCCAGGAGGCTCAGGAATACGTGGGTTCTATACCTGAGTTGATTTAGACCCCTGTTGTTAGACTTTGGATGTAAAATGTCCACAACATGCTCATATAGTGGAACAATTGGTCCCCAGATGATAATGCTGTTTTGGAAGGTTGCGGAATCTTTAGGAGGTAGAGGCCTATCTGGAGAAAGTGTGTCATGGGAGGGCAGGCCTTGTCCTAGTTCTGGCTCCAGTCTCTGTCTCTCTGTCTGTCTCTGTCTCTCTCTGTCTTTGTCTCTCTCTCTCTCTCTCTGTTTCATGGTCTCCCAAGATGAGGAAGCAGCCTCATGCTCCTGCCACCGCAGGCATGAGCCACTTCAACCACCATGCTTTCCCCACCACTATGGGTACCCTCAAACCATGAATCCAAATAAATCCTTTCTAAGTTGTTCCTTTCCAGGCATTTTTTCACAGCAATGAGAAAGTGAATTAATACACCTGTCATAACTACCGTCACCATCAGGACCTCCTAAGTGCGGGCCAAGTTGTCAGACACTCCAACCCTGAGCTCATACATCTTTATATCGTGCCTGTATTACAACCCTCTTCAACCCACAGAACACAGTCAAAAGCTCAACTGAGCTACTAGACTCTTACTCTGTGGGGTAAAGAGGCCATGGACACTGCACAGTATTCCATAGTACAGAGCAGAGAGGTGTACATCCCCAGGGTCAGCAGCACTACCGGAGTTGGCAATATGTGTATGTAAGGTATATGTGTATGTGAAGGCATGTATGTGTGGGAGTGCAGAGTGAATTTGTGTGTGCTTGCATATAGGAATGCATGTATGGGTGAATCCACGTGTGTGCACATCTGAGTGTGTATGTGCTCTGATAGAGTACTGAGAGGACCCTGGAACACTCACCTGTATCCTATTACTGTCCCCCAACACATGGGTAAAGAGCACAAATTGGCCAGGGAGAGAAATATGCAAAGAAAGCACACTGCTTTTCTTGTGAAATCTGGAGAGGAGCAGGATCTAGAGGCAGGGTCCTTGAGGCCATTCAGCCAGAGAGTTTAGTATTAGGGGAAAGGTTTACAGAATGGACAGAAGTAGCCACAGAAATCTGTGGTTGAAGCACAGCAGGAAACAGGCCCTTGAAAGGGCTCCAGAGCTGCCCAGCATTCATTCCCAGACTTCCACATCCACACAGGTGTAGATGAATTTCTAAACAGTCTTATTAAATAAGGAACACAAAGCCAAATATAGGGGTGAAAGCCGTAGAGATCAGGGAAATAGTGAGAGCCACCAGCCAACCTTAGCTCACCATGCCGCCATAGCTTCCCGAGAGAGAGAGAGCTACTTCCTGTCTACCCAGGCTTTTATTGCCTGGCTGTTCTGCCTTCTCACTGGCTCTTAGCCCAGCTACCTCACTTCCTTGTCACTGCCTATCTGTACAAACTTCCAGGACTCTATGGTTGGTACTGGGATTAAAGACATGTATCACCATGATTGGTTGTTCCCTAATGTGTCCTTGAACACATAGAGACTTGACCTGCCATTTGATCGGATTAAGGGCATGTGCTACCACTGCCTGACTTTTGTTTATGGCTGGCTATGTCCTCTGATCTCCAGGCAAACTTTATTTATTAACATACATATAAAATATCACCACACACAGGGTTAGGACCTTGTGTCGAGCTGAGGATCAGACCTGCTGAAACACTAAAGACATGCTTTCTGGGACTCGGGACCCCAAGCTAGAGAGCCACAATTCCAACGTGCCTGGGTTCAGCCACTCAGGGGAAGCTCTGGACTTTTTTCCTGGCTCCCCCTTTTCATAGTGGCAAAAGGTTAGCCCCATCATCCATCCTCACCATCAATTCCTAGAACCTGAGTTTCATCCCTATGAGGAAGATGGTAGAATATGTCTAAGCCACACTGTGATGGTGAAGACGGGCTGTGTCAGAGACTCCTGAGGTTGGTGACCTAAGTAGAAGTTTACTGTTCATCACTTTGAAGGCATGAGCCCAGGCACTTTCAGACTTGATATGTGGTGGTGGGGAGGACTACAAACTACCCCCATGTTCATTCACCAAGGACTCCACAGCTCCTTCGTCTCCTAAAGCCCCTTACATTTTTTGTTTTCTGTTTTGTTGAAGGGGCTTCACCTGTGCTAAACAAGGGTTCTACCATTGAGCTGTACCCACAGCCCCCTTTATTGAGACAAGACCTTGTTCTATTGCTCAGGCTGGTCTCAAACTTGAGAACTGAAGTAATCCTTCTGCTTCAGCCTCCTAAGTATCTGTGACTATGTGTGTGCATCACCACGGCTGCTGCTCCACCCCTTAATATCACATCAAGGTCGATAGATAGATAGATAGATAGATAGATAGATAGATAGATAGATGATAGATAGATAGATAGATAGATAGATAGATAGATAGATAGATAGATGATAGATAGATAGATAGATAGATAGATAGATAGATAGATAGATAGATGAGAGAGAAAGATGATATGATAGATAGATAGATAGATAGATAGATAGATAGATAGATAGATAGATTGATTGATAGATAGATAGATAGATGAGAGAGAGAGACAGAGGGAGAGAGAGAGATCAGAAAAGGCATCACCACCAAGCCATAGCAACCAGCCTTTATGTCTGATCACCATGAATCCACCTAGGAAAGAGTGGGTAAAAGGTGAGTCAACTGACCTAGGGACAGTGGATATTTATGGATCCTGCTAATGAAGAGGTGGCATTTCCTGGTCAA